CTTTCTGCTCCTATGATGCTGCTTGGCCTGCTGTGTTCATCCAGCTCTGCACCTTGTTGTCTCATCATCTCACACTTGTCTGCATTGACCTTTATCTGCCACCTGTCTGCCCTGTCCATCAACTTGTTTATACCCTTTTGAAGTTCAACACTGTCCTTCTTACAGATTACAATGGTCCCAAGTCCCAAACAAACTTTTAAAGTGATCTCTACACACCAAGTTCTAATTCAATTTCACATATAAGCAAAAGTAAGGGTCCCAAAACTGACTCAGAGAACACCACCAACCTTCCTACAGCCCAAAAATACCCATTAACCATCACTCCGTTACCTGTTCCTCATCCAAATTTGTGCGCATGTTGTTACTGATCCTTTTAATCCATGAGTATTGTGTGGTACAGTCCAAATACTTTCCGGATGTCCATGCACACCACATCAACAGCTTTGACCTCAGGAATCCTCTCTATTACCTCTTCAAAAACAGCAACAAGTTAGTTGGCCATGAGTTTTCCCTTAAGAAATTCATGCCAGTTCTTCCTAAGTAACCCCATCTTCTTATTTTTCAATATTTATTTTTGGACATTTCCCCACCACCAAAGTTAAACTAACAGACCTGTAATTGTAGGAATAAAAACAAAGTTGCTGGAAAAGCTCAGCAGGTCTGGCAGCATCTGTGAAGGAAAAAACAGAGTTAACCTTTCGGGTCCAGTGACCCTTCCTCAGAACCCTGTAATCGTAGGGCTTATCTTTACAACCTTAATGTTTGCAATTCTCCAGTCCTTTGGCACTACCCTGGAATCCAGGGAAGATTGAAAGATTAATGTCAGTGTATCTGCAATTTCCCCTCCCACTTCCTTTAATAAGCTTGGATGCATCTCGTCCAGTCCTAGTACATTATTAACTTTAGTACTGACAACTTATTCAATGTCACCTCTTAATTAACCTTATATATTACCTACACATCAACCAAGATCCTGGAAGTGGGAAGTGGCAAATAGTTTATAAACTAGTTAATTTCTGAAAGCGTTAACTGACATCTTATGATAAGCTCCATTGATCAGGACTTAAAAGGACTGGTCCTGAGAGGTGCTAACCATTCCAGTCTGTGTGTTGTACTTTGATTCCATTTCAATGCTAATCAATGCAACTGAGCAGGATACCTACTCTTCAATATAATCTGATGGTTTACAAATAGCTTTCATGTAATTCTGATGTAGTGTAAGTAGCTTTTAAGTTCCATATAAACGATAAGATGCAGGAACATAAGTATTCACCCAGTTCATCAAGCATGCCCCAACATGCAATCAGATCATGGCTGACTTGATAACCTTCAACCCCAACTTTCTGCCTTTTACCTACAAATCTTGATTCTCTTCCTGATTAAAAATCTGTCTGTCATAGCATTGAACATACTTAATGAACCCAGCATTCACAGCCCTCCTTTGTAAAGAATTTCTGAGACACACTACCCTCTCTATTCCTTCTCTTCCTGTCTTAAAAGAGAGAGACCCCTTACTCTGAAATTATGCCCACTGATCCTCGATTCTCTCACAACAGAAACAATTTTTCTGCATCCACCCAGTAAATTCCCAAAAGAATCTCATATGTTTCAAAAAGATCGCCTCTCATTCTTCTAAATTCCAATGAGTACAGGCCCAATCTACTCAACCTGTCCTCCTAAGATAGTTCCTCCATACCCAAGGTCAGCTCTCTGGACTGCCTCCAAAACTGGAATATCCTTCCTTAGATAAGGGGACCAAATCTGTTCATGGTGTAGTCTAAAAGCTTTTAGCCAGCAGTTGAAGTTCCTCGACAATTCATTGTGAGAATGACCAGAAAGAAAGCCAAGAACCAGAGGCGGAAGAGGAGATGCCTCTGAAGTGCCTTATATCGGAAATTATTTCCTTTTTTACATAGGTCACATGGCATCTCAGGCCATCTTAGCTTGTCCACTAAGAGTGATTCAAACAGAAGGCTGCAGATAGAAAAAGATTTCATCCCGAACCAGTAAGGAAGAATACGGCTATGCAGGGAGAAAGTGAGTGACATTTTGATGCAGCTCATAGTCTGCAACACAGGAACTGCATGAGTAAAATTGCCATGTCTTCAGAAGCAGAAGCCAGAAGATTTCTCACTCTCTTCTAAGTCCAATGACTCTTCTTCGGAACTTAAGCAATAGATGCCATTGGCAAACTATCGAGATTTTGGAGACTTTCATCTTGTAAGTACTTTTCTATTCTTGCTTTAATCTTGATGTCTGTTAATAACTTTATATTTTTTAAATTTTTGATTCATTCATGAGATAAGGGCATCGCTGGCTAAGCCAGCATTCATTGCCCATCCCTAATTGCCTGGAGGACAGTTAAAAGTCAACCACATTGCTTTGGGTCTAGAATCACATGTTGACCAGACTGTGTAAGGATGGCAGTTTCCTTCCCTAAAGGACATTAGTGAACCTGATGGCATTTTCTGATAATTGACAATGGATTCATGGTCATCATTAGACGATTAATTAATCCCAGATTTTTACTGAATTCAAATTCCACCATAACCACTGATTGACAGTCCGCTGCTATTGCCTCCCCTCTTGATTAAACACAAGGCTGCATCTATTTTAGCTTAAATCAATATAAACTGAAAGGGATTGTACAAACTATATTAATCTACAGTTCGCTGACCACATGGTGGATGTGCCTGGTGGTTGTGACACATAGGTCAAGGATTTGTACAAGCTCAAATTGCTTCCTTCATGAGATCTCCAGCTCTTACTCTTTGTCATGTTAAGTCATGATTGTTATGATTATTTGGGCTTATGCTGTTAAACTATTACTCCACATCTCCTCCCCCAGCCTTTGTTCCCATTACTTACACTTTACTTTAGTGAGCATTCCTTGGGTACGTGTAAAGCTTTCAGTAGTTTTTGTATTTTCTTCAGGATCAAAGTTGTACTAGTTTTCTGTTCAAGGCTCTTCAATATTTCCTGCTAATACATGGAGATGTTTCCCATATACGATCTTGGTTATTCCATTCTCTCAGTAACAATTCCTCTTGTTGTGGGTCTCAGGCCTTTCTCCTGAATGAAGAATTGACAACTTTCTTACTTGATGACAATGACTGAAGTTTCTAGTTTGCTTCTGTCTTTGGACTTCCATCCATTTTCTCAATTTATCTTGGTCTCCCACTGTAATATCAATTTTAACTTTTCAGAAGATAATCACCATGATTAACGGTTTTTAAATGATGATGATCTATGACTCAATGGAGCCAACCTAATTTTATCTTCTTCAAAAGTTGTTTATGGTCCCAACATCTTGTTCCTCTTTACCATTCACTTTTGGATAATAAGGTGAACTCACTTTATGAATTAATCTACATTCCTTGGCAAATTCTCTAAATTGTGTATTTGCAAGCTGTGGCCCATTATCTAATATAACCATGTCAGGAACGTTGTGAGTTGAATAGACTTGTTTCAATGATGTTATCAACATGTTAGCTGTGATACTGTCTTGACAATTTATGTCAACCTATCTTGAATGATCAATAATAAGGATTATACATCTTTTTTGATTTGATTTATTATTGTCATATGTACATAAGTTCAGTGAAAAGTTTCGTTTTGCATGCAGTACAGATAGATCATACCATACAAAAATTGTAAAGTGACCGAACAGAGAGGAATACAAAGTTATGGCTGCAAAGAAGGTGCACAAAAAGCAAGATCAACATTAGATTTGAAATTTGAGAGGTCCATTCAGAAGTCTAATAACAGCAGGGAAGAAGCTGTTCTTGAACCTGTTGGTACACATGTTTTGTATCTTCTGCTTGACAGAAGTGTTTGGAAGTGATTGTAACCGGGTAGGAGTGGTCTTTGATGATTGGCTGTCTTTTCACAGCAACGAGAAGTGTAGATGGAGTCAACGGATGGAAGGTTGACCTGCGCGATCCTCTGAGCAGCATTCACAACTTTCTGTAGTTTCTGACAGTCGTGGGCAGAGCAGTTGCTGTACCAAGCCACAATATATCCAGATAGAATGCTTTCTACGGTGCATCTATAAAAGTTGATGAGGGTCCTTATGGACATGCTGAATTTTCTTAGCCTCACCATATTAAATCAGATATGCGTTACAAAATAAATGATTGGTGTTCCATGTCTGAATTAAGTTCTAGCATCAGATTTTAAACATGGGAAAGAAAAATGATTGAGTAGCTTACTATATTCTCAGGCCATCCAAAAGTACATTACAGCCAATACATTGCTGTAGAAATGTTTATATTAACATTGAAAATAGAAGTAAGGATACACATCAGGAGCTCCACATGTAGCTAATTAACTAATGGCTGATTGGGATAGCAAGAACTGCAGATGTTGCAGACATCTGCTTTAATTAAACTGGCTGAAGAGAGCAAGTTGGTCCAGATACGAGAAGAAGTCACTTGTTTCTTTTGGCAACAAAAAATGTCACAGTTTCAGTCACCAGCATGCTCCATGAGCAGCGACTGCATGAACCCTCATCCAGTGAGACCTCCAGTGCCCCATCAGCAAAGCGGATGCCAATTACGCTCTGCCTGACATGTCTGAGACAAATAAAATGAACTGAGCAGAGTAGCTGCAGGCTAATGCTTGACCATATGCATGCCTGGGTTTTAAAAACGGCACTGGAATCAGGAATCCTGGGAGGTCGCAGCAGTGGCCAGGAGCGAGTGGGAGAATACGTGAGCAGCGTGGTCTTACAGGCGAGGTGCAAAGGCAATGAGGCAAAGTTTGGAAGATAATGTGAGAAAGACTGCTAGGGCTCATAGAAACCCTCCATGAAACTCACCAAAAATTACACAGCCAACTCCTGCGGAGGTTCAACACATAACAGTTAGCATAAAGTTGCTGCATAACCATGTAGGTCAAAAATTGTGAATTTGGTATGTGGTTTACTATCGACATCTGTGCAACTTGGGGGGTTTCAATCTGCAAACCAGCCATTTGATTTATACTGAGACCCATCTTACCTTAGAGCTCCACATTTTCGCAAAATTTAATTCGTGACTTTCTTGCCAATGGTTGCTGTCAAGATCCTGCAACAAACACAAATATTTGTCATAGATTGCATAATGGCAAAATTCAATAGAAGCAAAAGCATGTTGCATGAGGCTGCTCACAGACATTGTACAGTCATCCAGATGCAGCTACAACTCCAGTACCCTTGGGCACTGTCAGTTCTGCATTAAGCTACCAGTTTAATCTGCAGAACACAACTGTAGTATGGGATGCTCTACATATCAAAACTTTAGTTAACGGTTGTTTTGCACAATACATATTTACTGCTCTATGAATTGTTACATTAGGAGCTTTAGAATTGTCTGCAATATTCTCAGGAAACCACTTTCATGAAGTATTCATTGTCTGGTACCATGACAGCTGGCTCCTTGTTCCTGTCTAGCCATGATAACAATCAGATGCTTGTTGACTTAACAAAAAAAAGACCGGCATAAATGACCATGATAAGTCACGAAAAGCGACTTTAAACAACACAATGCTCCTATTTAAATTGAGGTACATACATTAGAAATGGTAAACCTTGCAAAGTCTCTCATGGTGCTATTTACGTTAAGGCAGGAGATGTGATTTTTCACCAGGAGAATTATTATACAATATCACGTTTATTTGATAATATCCAATACAAAAGATTTTTCTTTGGAAAGTTAGCTATATTTGGGCAGGTCCAAGGAAGAAACCTGAGTAATGTGTAACTCCTTTTCACTAACTCATGGGATGTGGGCATCACTGGCTGCTCAGTATTTATTGCCCTTCCTTAGTTACCGTTGAGAAGCTGGTGGTGAGCTGCCTTCTTCAACTGCTGTGGACTACCTGCTGTAGGTAAACCACAATGCCTTTAGGGACAGAGTTCCTAGATTTTACCAAGTTAACAGTGAAGGAATGGAGACATATTTCCAAGTCAGGATGGTGAGTGACTTGGAGGGGAACTTGGAGGTGGTGGTGTTCCCATATATCTGCTGCCCTTGTCCTTCTAGATGGAAGTGGTCGCAGATTTGGAAAGTGCTGTCCAAGAGTCTTTGGTGAATTTCTGCAGTGTATCTTATAGATCATACACACTGCTGCTACTGAGCGTCAATGGTCGAGTGGCTGAATGTTTATGGATGCAGTGCCAATCAAGCAGGCTGCTTTGTCCTGGATGGTGACAAGATTCTTGAGTGTTGTTGGAGTTGCACTCATCCAAGCAAATGGGGAGTATTCCATCACACTCCTGACTTGTACCTTACAGATGGTGGAAAGGTTTTGTGGAGTCAGGAGGTGAGTTACTCGCTGCAGTATTCCTAGCTTCTGACCTGCTCTTGTAGCCAATGAGATTCTGGTCAATGGTAACCCTCAGGATGTTGATAGCAGGAGACACCGTTGAATGTCATGGGGTGGACATTTGATTGTCTCTTATTGGAAATGATAATTGCCTGGCATTTGTGCGGCGCGAATGTTACTTGCTACTTGTCAGCCCAAGTCCGAATATTGTCCAGATCTTGCTGCATTTAAACATGGACCGCATTAGTATCTGAGGAGTCCTGAATGTTTGATTGGTACACGTGACAATCAAAGTACAGTGAAAAACTTTGTTTACGAGCAATACAGGCAGATCATAGCAAGCAAGGATGTACAGATCAAAAAGACTCAGGCAGAGGCAAACAGCTTACATCGCACATGACGTGAACTAGGCGAGATCAATGTTAGCAAGATCAGCATTATTTGAGGATCGAGAATCCATTCGGCAGTCTAATACTGGCCGGGAAGAAGCTGCTTCTGATCCTGCTTGTGCATGTTCAGGCTTCTGTATTTTCTGCTTGATGAAAGAGGTTGTAAGAGATCATGACCGTGGTGCGATGGGCCTTTGATGTTGGCAGCCTTTCCGCAGCAGCGCGCCATGTAAATACAGTCCATGGATGGAAGGTTGGCTTCCGTGATGGTCTGGGCTGTGTACACCACCTTCTGTATTTTCTTATGGTCCTGGGCAGAGCAGTTGCTGTACCAGGCCGTTATGCACCCAGACAGTATGCTTTCAATGGTGCATCTGTAGAAGTTGGTAAGGGACCTTATGGACATGTGAAATTTCCTGAGGAAGAAGAAGTGTTGTTGTGCCTTCTTGGCTGTCGCATCCAGGACAGGTTGTTGGTTATCGTCACTCTGAGGAACATGACAGTCTCCACCCTCTCAACCTCAGTTCTGTTGATACAGATGGGGCCATGTTCTCCTCCTTTCTTTGGTGAGTGCTGAATGGTGCTGAACATTGTATAATCATTGGTGAGCATCCCCAATTCTGACCTAATAATGGAGGGAACATCATTGATGAAGCAGCTGAAATGGATGGGTCTAGGACACTACCCCAAGGAACTCCTCCAAAGATGTCCTGGAGATAAGATGAATGACCTCCAACAACCACAACCATCTTCCTACGTGTCAGGTATGACTCCAACCACCAGAGAGTTTGCCCCTAATACCCAATGATTACAGTTTTGCTAGGGCTCCTTGATGCCACACTTGGTTGAATGCATTCATAATGTCCAGGGCTGTCACTCTCACATCACCTCTGGAATTTAGCTCTTTTGTTCATTTTTGAACAAAGGCTGTAATCAGATCAGGAGCTGAGTGGCCCTGATGAAACCCAAACTGCGTGTCACTGAGCAGGTTATTGCTGAGTAGGTGCCATTTGATAGCACTGTTGATGATACCTTCCATCACTTTACTGAAGATTGCAATAGACCGATGAGGGCAGTAATTGGCCGGGTTGAATTTGTCCTGTGTTGTGTGTACAGGACACACCTGGGCAAATTACCACATTGTCAGGTAGATGCCATTGTTGTAACTGTACTAGAACAGCTTGGCTAAGGGAGCGGCAAGTTCTTGAACACAAGCCTTCAGTACAATTGTTGCAAATTGTTGCAATTGTTAGGACCAATAACTTTTGCAGGATCCAGTGTCTCCACCAGTTTCTTGGTATCACCTGGAGTGGAGTGAATTGAATTGGCTGAAGACTGGTAACTGTAATGTTGGGGACCACTGGAGGAGGCCGAGATGGATCTTCCACTCGGCACTCCTGGCTGAAGATTGCTGCAAAAGCTTCAGCCTTGTCGTATGCACTGACGTGCTGGGCTCCTCCATCATTGAGGATCGGGATATTTGTGGAGCCTCCTCCTCCAGTGAGTTGTTTAATTGTCCATGTGGCAGGACTGCAGAGCTTCAATCTGATCCGTCTGTTTTGGGATCACTTAGCTCTGTCCATCACTTGCTGCTTATGCCGTTTGGCACGCAAGTAGTCCTGTTTGGTAGCTTTGATAGCTGACACTTACATCTAGTTAGTCCAGTCATCAGGGGAAATTACAAGATTGAACTTGGAGAAGGCGGCTAAACAATTTCTACGTGATACACAGCAGTCAGGAATGGTGCTCTTTGAAGTAGGTATGTCTGGTGGCAATTTCTTGAAATGAGAATGCAACAGCAAACTACACCTGGAATTGAAAAGACAACGGCAGAAACAGCCCTGCCAAGTCATTTTTTACTAACATCTGGAGGCTAGTGTCAAAATTGGGACAGCAGTCTCACAGACAGATGTAAGGAAACACAGGTGTCATACAAAAAGGTGTGAGCAGTACAGCAGTATCCCTGAGACAAAAACACACAGAGAAGGCCACTGCCTGACGCTCTTCTGCATTTGTATAACTTTATTGGGATATCAATTTTGCTGCAACATATTTGAGTATTTGAATTAAGAATACTTGATATCTTTTGAAAAATGAGTACTAGACTAATTTATATCTTGCTCTGAGGAAATGAAATGCCTTCCTCCTGTGTTATGAGAAAGAGGACAAAGAAATCAAAGGGGTTGTATTAGAATAATTTGGGGCAAAGCATCATAGAATATAATTGTTTCCAACAGAGCATCCTAGGCCTCAGGTTACACATCTCTAAAGGTTTTAATGAGCTTTCCCTGCCATTCAGCTCATCAAAACATTACTCTTCTTTGTAATCTATCTGGGGGTAGCATTAGGTCTGATACCAGCTGAATGAGTGCAATGAATCCTAGAATCCCTACAGTGTGGAAGCAAACCATTAAGCCCATACCGACCCCCCCCAAAGAGCATCCCACCCAGGCCCAGCCCCCTGCCCTATCCCTGCATTTTCCATCCTCGACTCTATGGGTAATTTAGCATAGCCAATCCACTTAACCTGCACATCTTTGGACTGTGAAGGGAAACTGGAGCACCCGGAAGAAATCTACACAGTCACAAGGAGAATATGCAAACTTCACACAGACAGTCACCCGAGAGTGGAATTGAACCCCGGTCCCTGGCGCTGTGAGGCAGCAGTGCTAATCACTGAGCCACCTGTAGAATTATGTGCAGAAGTGAAAATGACCACTGACTATTTCTGGAATGCAGATTATTACTGTATAAAGATAAAGATAATGTTGATATTTTAATGCAAGCATCACAATTCGTTATCTTCTCAATCAAACTTGCAAAAAAGGAGCAAGCATATTCAACTTAACTGGCAGAATTTCCAAAAGAACTGGCAGAAACAGACAGCCTTCAAAGAACCTTACAACAATCCCTTCAGATCTGTACAATAGGGAAGGCTTTCATTCTGTCAATAGTAAGATAGTTTGTCATTCAAATCTTGATCTTTTGCATGTTAATAATATCCATGACCCAATAAACTGTCACAAGGCTTTTATCATGCAACAAACACCATGCAAATCTTGATTATTCCAATACCTGCATCAGGATAGTTAACTGGTAATCTAGAGTATTCTCAGTGGTGATAGATTTCTCCTTCAATACAGGATCCACAAAGATCAGGAACGCAAACAGAAAGAGACCGAATGAGACAAACCAAATCTTTCACCCTCTGAAGTAATGCATTGAGTGTCCTCAACCCCGCAGAGGTGTCCCTGAACATCCATCATTTGAACCAGTCTGAAAACCATCTCCATTACCTACACAAGATTGATAATCCAGACATCCACCCCACATAAACAAAGAGCTAAACTCTATAAATCAAGAGATTTATA